AACTGTTTGTAGCGTGTGTCAAAACACCTCTTAAATCCAGATTATATCATCTCTTTAAGTGTTCCACAATCTTCGTTCTGGAGACCAGCGTAGATGACGTAACCGATGCTGTGCTGATGTCCTTACCGATGGTCGTGATTGGAAACAGATACCTAGAGAAGTTCGTGATGAAACACTTAAGAAAAGATAGAGGCCTATTAGTCCAGAAGGTGCACATCTACATCAACCTACAAGTCAGAAGCAATAATGCTTCAAATGCAATCAACCGGAAACTAACGCACTCGATCCAAAGAATGTTCAATCCTGATTGGTTAAGAAACCACTAGAGCAGATATCGACTACACAACACGAGCATTGACGATGTAGCTCTGACTTAATAATCCCTTCAGGATAAAATGTTTGCTGTTTGTGAACGTCCCGCAAGCAATTTAGTTTAGACGACGCGACACCTACGACGCAGTGGAACCGGACTAGCGAAATATGTGACAAGGGAAAGTGCAGCTCATCGGAATGAAACAAGCCACTGACTGAGTCACTCAGCGTAAGGTATCAAGTGCCATCAAGTTGTTGCATCCCCAGGGACAACGATCAACCAACAACCAACTTTACATCATAGAAATCGTCACGTGAAACCGTTTTGTCTGGCTTGATGGACAAACCACGGTTTCTAATTGACCATACGTGAGTGAACTAAATGTCTTACTTTACATTTTCCGTGCTACCTAACCAGCATTTGTGAGAATATCTTAGATGCGTATTTCAATTAAAACCGTATTTCCCAGCCAAAACTTTGTCGAAAAAATTATTCGCACTCCGAGCTAACGTTAATATTTTGAACTTTTGGGGGGAAATATGTCAGTACGTCTTAGAACTGCCAGATTCTGTATGGAAGGCAAAGTCTGTCAAGTTTGAACGGTTCAGCTGGTAGACCGTCCAGTCTAGCTTCTCTTCCAGTTCGCGGTTGGTTTATGACCGTCAGTAGTTCTGCGGTTATAGGCAAGTCAGCCAGATATGTCTTCACAGTATGTTGGTGCAAACAGACCATATAGCTTAAGCCGACATATTCTGGCCGGTAGAGTAATGACAAATGTTGGGATTTTTTGTGGTGATTTCATCCTGTAAGTGAAGCCAATCTATGTTATATCCTGTCTAAGTGCGAGTTAATCACACTGCTGATCAGCCACTCGTAGCCGAACGGTTAAGTGTTCGAACTACTAGCCGGGAGGTCGCGGGTTCGAGACTCTTCGGAATTTCATGAGATGCGCACTGCTGATGATTCCCAATAAGGATGAAACAGCTGTACAGTGCTCGGCTTCTCAGCATAGACTGGCTTCACTTACAGGACGAAATCTCCACAAAAATCCCAAATCTCCTCACACTACCAACAACATATATATATATATATGTATATGGGTAGAATGTTTGGTGGTTACACAGATAGATAACTAGCTAATTCCTTGGTTGTGTTTTCCTGTCTGATTGATTACTTCAATTCTTCTACCACTTCGACTATATGGTGCTTGAAATTCCTCAGTAGGATTGCCCAGATGATCCAACTGGACGAAAAAATGGACGTACAGTTAAAGGAATCAAGATTCTGAATAGTATACTGTTTTACGCACTCTGGATATTAACGGTTCGCTTATTAACATCTGGACTGCCAACCTGATTCATCCTATATATATATCTCAGACACCATAGAATGATGGCAGATTGGACAACCGAGTTGTTTTACGGGTGACAACCCGTTTTGGGTGGCACCCAAAACGTCTGAAAAAACTGCACATCTCACTTCTGAGTCCAGTGGTGATGTCTATTTTCTCGATCACCCTGCCATGTTGAAATGCCTTTCCTTTCTATTAAGGTCGAGTTTAGCAGTTCCCGTAAAGTTTCACGTAGCATACTATGCATTCCAAAAGGAGATCAGTTAAGGAAGCAGGTAGCTTTGTGTTCACTTGAAAAGAGATTTCGTAGTGATTTCGGTGCACACTGGCGCTCATGCCGACCTTGAAAAAAGTTTTACAAACTGACGACGCATGACATTTTCCATCTAGAAAATCGCATCCGATTAGGTGTGCGACCTGTCCATTGCGAGCCGTGCTGGAATTTCTCAGGTCGTCAAAGGAATTTCAGAGCTAAGAAAGCTTTGTATCTATTGGGATTTTATGATACAAACGACAAAGATTGTGCCATTTGTTGTGAATTCAGGCATACTTTGTTGATTAAACGGAAAGGACGAACGTTGATTTCATTTTCAACCAATAGCTGAGCGTTGAAACTTCATATATTTTTGCTAATGCACCACAAATTGCAGTTCATACTAGCCTTTGGGTTCAGACAATGAAGCTATTGTGTTTAGCTTGGTTCATCGCGCTTTACGGTAAGCACTTAAAATGGCTATTGTGTCACAACCCTTCCTGCTTGTAACTCTCTTCTTTCGGAGGATGTTATCTGGACGATATCTTCAGGACAATAAAGGTTTGAGGATCCATGCCTTTCCAGCGCGTTCCTGAGGACATAAGACAGACCTTTCCAGAAAAATTACCTTATTTATGTAATAATTCTAGCTGAGTTTACCAACAACTTCGAATTGTTTCAGTTGGAATGTGATGCGGATCTACGGACAGTATCCATATCGGAACAAGGCACAAGCAGCTTAGGAGCTTTGTACAAGCTCAAATATTTTGCTCAGTAGACATTTTGGCATAGAGTTGTCATAGTATCTTTAGAAAGCATAACAGTTGATATGAATCAAAGCTATTCATCGTTCAGCGTTAACGTCCTCCCGGTGCCTAGCTGCTTCGCTACCCGAAGGAAGCACGAGTGCTAGGACACTGCCAGGATGCCCATACCTAGACAGGGGAATTCGAGAGGTAGAGGTCGGGTTCGAACCACGGACCTTCCGGTCAGTAACTTCGCGCTCTAACCACTTGAGCCATCTCCCCCCAAGTTGTTCACGCTTTAATGAGGGTCTGACGAGAGCTGTGAATTTGAAACGGCGCTATCATGACCATGACTCTGTAATCTCATCTGCCTTTCTAATTAAATGTAAAATGCAAAATAATTAAATGTAAAATACGGCCAGCTTCTGAGGTGTGCCTTGTGGGTGATTGGGAACAGACGTTTTAAGGTCTCCCTGGCCAAAGCCGCCGAACGTATCACCGTTCGGTTTAATGACTGGTAGACCTGATACAGCGCTTTGGTTGTCATAATTCATGTATTATAGACTACTGGAGAGTTTGACATCAGTAACGCGCACTGTTAGAAAAGTTGGTGTTTGAGAGCAAACAGCGTGGACCTGTGTTATCTGCAGCATTGGTTTTCAACCCCGACAGCTTTTGAGCCCCTTGCTGTCAGTCCAGTTCAAAAGGTCTAATGCGGTGTGAAAACGAGTTTTTCGTGCACCCAATGCTTTGTTGCAGACTGAATGAATTTATCGTTTTTTTAACACTCTGTTAATAGAATAAACGCTTAATAGCATCACCTTATCTGTAAATTCCAACTATATTGAAAGCATGTAATTCACATTTAAGAAGATGCTTCTGCTGCTTACAAACGAGTGGTCTAAATGAAATCTAAGCACATCTTTCTGAAATCAGTGTAGTTCACTTCGTAAATTTGTTTGAACTATGGACCAGAGCAATCGTACACCATGTCTACTGAAGATACGTTGCTGTGTATGCAATTATTGACGGTTGTTCAGATGCAGAGGTTAGAAAACACATCCATATTTTGTTCATGCTGTTATCTGTAGCTAATTAGGCTCAGTCACACATTTTGCAGCTTCTTTTCCCCATTATTCTACGATCCGTGCTTCTTCAAGCCTACACAAAAAACCTACAAGCAGACGAATGTTTCTGTGGTAGAGTTGAACTGAAAATTTTTCGAAAAACCAGTAAAAAACGGTGCTTCAAATCTACCACCATCACATTACTTGCACGCAGCTCAGAGTGTCCGAGGTAAATTCCCCACCCATATGTTGATATAGGGCTTTTTCAGCCTTGCGTTGAGCTTTCTAATTAGAACAGTGGCCACAAAACGACCCTTGTTGGGGGTACTACTGTGGAAAAATCATATGCTTCTGATACAGCAACCATTTGAGTTTTTGAAATCAGAGTCAACAGTGACAGGGCCGGATGGAAATGGGTTTTGAGTGTTGGCAAAACAAGAGCCAGTTCGAATTTTTAGGGTTCTTTTTTGGCGCGCCTTACTTTGGCTGAGATTGAAAATTTTAAGGAGATAGATCGAGTGCTGTGCCGGCCAGCAAGATGCTTATCCGAATAAACACACAAACTTTCGTCAGTAATTCACTTGTCCAGTGTTGTGTAAGACGCGGTTTATATATCTCATAGCCAATAGGAAAAAGAGAGAAAACTAAAGCAGAACAAATTTGACTGATTTACACTTATTACTTTATTTCCGTGGATGAATTGGTTAAGTTTAGGTTATAAACGAATTGTCCATGATGTAAAAAGCAAGCCACAACAGAACTGCCTTTTAATTCGACGTTCCTAGAAGCCTCTGGAAAAAAGAAGATAGGGGAGAAAATGCCTTGGGATTTATTGGGTTCATTCTCATGCCTGACCGACGGACCGTACCTCTAACTCCAGATTGACCTAAATTTTGTTCTCGAGGGATGCCTAAGCCGTCAAGCAATCCGATCTCTAGTGAGTAGTCAGACTATTGTGCATCGTGGGTGGTAGGCTACGCAGTGTGAATATTTACCAACAAGTAAACCATTTGACGAAGTCGGCAATTTGTTAAAATATGTGCTTAGTAGTTTATTTAAAGTTCCATAGCTTCCAGATTGGTGGGCATTCGCATGACGATGATTATAGGGGAACAATCTGAGTTTTAAACGGTAGTTGTTTTATTGGCTGGAATATTGGCTAGTTGGCTTAAGGATCGGTCCTCTTAAAAAAAGACAACTCTAAGTTCCCAAACGTTATACTGTGGTATGTTCCTTGTGGTCACTTAATATATGCAATAACAATCCTTGCATGTTGTTCATAGTTTCAGAACATTGCAACGTACTCGCATTCGCGGAGCTGAAAGAACCGAAGTTCATCACTGAAAAAATTATTCCTATTGATGAACCCACCTTCGAATTCTCCGAAACAGTTCAGGACGACATATGTGCATCCCGTGAGTTGAATGCCGTGGTTCTGAGAAAAGACGTGAAAACCATCACGTAAACAAACATCTTGCCTAAATATTACTTTTATCGGAGAAGGGTCCTAGAACTTTTTATAGTCATTTCGTGTTTTATCAGTTACAGGGGAACACCACATAAAAATGGCAAGTTACAAACGTCCGACTTAAAGCTGCTACCTTATCATCGGGGTTGGGCTTGAATACTTCTATAATCCTTCGCGCTCTACTGGCTACAACTTGACTGTACCAGGACACTGGTACTTATAGTGGATTGCTGTTTGGGAGTAAATCCACAGGTCTGTAAAGACTAAATTATTTTCCCTGGGTCACCGGTATCTCCGGGCTCACAGGCACATCCGTGATGACTTTTTCAAGCAGAAAACAAAATTCGCAAAGTCCAATTGCCCAAAGGCAGACCATCACTCGGAGTGCCTTCCAACACTGTCGAATTACCTTTGAAAGCCAAGAGTACCTTGCGGCTCAAAACACACCGGCTGTGCACGGAAGCATTAAGGTTCAGGCGGTTCCGTTTTACCCCCCACCTCTTCAGGTAAGGCCAGGCCCTACAGCCACATGTGTGAGATTCTCGAGTCATCGGAAACTCATGTTTCAGGGTATACGGAGCACAGTGAAACGTTAGTTAAGCATGTCACTGTCCAGAAAACCCTACATCGTTAAATTGCGTTACTTCTATATGAGGCCAAAGACATAACTGTAAAATGACTGCTGTCGAGGTCAAAAGTGGCACGAGAGTAAAGCAAGATTGAGTTTCGGCCAAAATTTGTTCAGTCTGTGCCCTCTAAATGACTACGAAGCGATTCAGGGTGAAAAAAATTGAATGATTCAATTATTAATATGTTGCTGTTGCTGGTGATTGCTTCATTAGCCCTTCGGGCGGCGGAGTTGTTGTGAATACCCACAGTGTTCGCGTTAGAAGCGGCTTAATTTTATTTACATATAAGTGATCGTGAGACACCTGCGTCTTATAATTCCATCAGGGGTTTACGCCAAGAGACATCCTGCATACAAATTAACGACAGCGACCTCCCAAACGATAGGCAATCAATACTTAAATACATGCATAATTCTGAGCTAAATCGGACTTGCCGGTAACCACTTTACCTCTTCTAAAGTAACACGTTAATGTCAATGCAACTACAGATAACTCGACCATTTGTATTCACCTGCCAAAAGAATGTCGGCTCTGATTTCTATTCAAAATTTGTTGAACTCTATTGTCGTAGTAAACCTGCTATGGGCTTGCTCGTTGGCTAGCGAGGAAGGTGAAATTCTCAGGAGGCACTGTTACAGTAGGTTATCTGGTGTTAGTGTGGCATCTCACTAAAACTTGGAGGAATTGACAGGTAAGGCCAGTGTCTTGATGTGAATGTACTCGTCCTGATACTCATTGGTATGCCAGCTTGCCTATGTCGTTTGGAACACCAGTTTTACCGCTCCGAGTGACTTCAACAGCCTGCAAGCGACCATACTTTGGGATCCACGCTAACCAACTGTGGTTTATTTTCTGCGCATAAATGACCAGTGAATCAACTACTGTCAAACGGCAGGACAGTTGTGCATGCAGTTGAAGGAGATAAGAAAGCATGGACTGCGTCAGACCTACGGTGTTGTTTACCAAGAAACATGCGTGAGTTCGGTTGGTGAGTTGATCTGCTGGAAAGTCAACCTTTTCAAAGTTCATGAACTGACGTCATCACGTGAGCCGGAGAGCTTGGAGTGAAGGTTTAGGAAGGTTTTACGCTCGAGGATTTACAAGAAAGTTTTTTCGAACAACCCCTTAATCCCCTCACAATAAACCTTGACCATACTCTAAATCGCATTCATTTTCATTCAACTGGCCCTCGCTAGAAGGAATCAATTTTTTGAAGATTATTAAGCAGAAAACTGCAAAAGTTCATCTGAAATATGAAATGTTCCATGCTAAAATTATTGTCGCAATTTTATGTTAAAGGTGAACTGCCAACCGTCACACTGACTATAAGTAACGTGGATGGCTCAACAGCACAGCGAGTCGTATGGACATCATTTCCTACCTATTCGGAAAGATGTAATGTCGAGTATAAACTGACATACCATAAAAGAGATAAGCCTACGGAGACTGTCCGTCATACTTTCCAAGGAGATGGTGAATTTCAAACGGGAAATCTTCTTGCAGACACCGAATATAGTTATGAGCTCAAATTATCCAAACGGGGCCTTGCCAACTCCCTCACCCGGCGAACGGTTCAAACTCTTCGCACGCACAAAAGTATGTCATTTTTGGGGAATTGAAGGAAGATACTTGGAGAAATTTTATTCAGTTAACTTCAGGTCCAAAGTAACAAGTAGTTGGAAAGTGCACCATTCACATAACTGAGTACTGGTGTTCAGAAGCCGTCACGGCTTGCACCCTTTTATTTGTTTTTGTGACTGGACAGCGAGTTTTGCAATCGGTAACTAGTGTTTTTCAAGATATGGCTCTCCACTTAAGTTACGTGTTCTAGAACTGCCAATTTTAATACCAGTAGAATCTCCAAAACCTATTTTTCTTGGAAAGTGGGTACTTTGAGTTTGACATTGCGCAACCGCTTATCGTTATAATACGGGTGCTGGTATATGGTAGTCTTTTCAAGCATACTTGACACCCTTCTAGTTATCAGTATTCAAAAATTTATTTTGTAGTATTGTCGTTTCTAGCTTATCCGTGTTTACTATCATTACAACTATTTGTATTAGTATTATTATGGGTCATGTTTCAGAGGTAAACTTTCAGCTTTTCCCACAAGATACGTTTGCTGCTTGCTTTCTTGTGTTCATAAAACAAAGACGAGCAGGCTTTCTATAGAGTTTTAACAAAACATAGTTTGGCATTCATCAGTGCTGGTCCATATCAGATAAAAAAATTGCAGTTATGATAATACGGGTAGTTCTGTTACATCCAACCGTTGGTTTAAATGACAGATGCCTCCGTCCGTTTTAGGTTCATTGGAAGTGAAATTATCTTCAGCTCAGAGGGTTTCCCACTATACACGAGCATCTGGTGATAGCGTGGGAGAATCTGACGATGTGCAACACGTTGGCTAAATAAAATGAATATTTGACCAGTAAGAAACAAACAGTCCCCACCGTATGTAATAAGAAGGCCGTACGTATTTTTTGACACATCCTAGGATTTTTCGTTTTGAATTTCATAGTTGAACAAACGTATGACTGTCTTCATACACTCGTATTACTTGGACTTTCTTGATGGTTTGAGGTCCAGAAACTAAGGTGGACAATTTATATTATGTAAATTGTGTTATGATCATGACATTTTACATAAGCAGCGCGTGAGCGATTTTTCTCGCAGTAAACAAACGAAATATACTCGTTCGCAAACAAATTTGGTTTCGCGAGAGACTCACCTGGGACCCAGCTGAATCTGCCGTTTGCATTGTCTTTAAGCAACTGAATTTGCTGCACCAGACAGCCTCATGTTCCAGTTGGTAAGGTATTCGAGATAACGCGATACATGTATATATGTAATGCACTACTCATGAGGTTGCTCAGAAAAATTTTCAACAACTTTATGAGTAGTGCATTACGCAAACCCTTCAAACGATTACTGGGAATGACCAGAAAGAAGTAAGCATCCAATATCGCCTGTTTTCTACTCAGCACCGCATACAAGCACTTATTTACTACCGAACTTCTGAAACAACTATAAAGCTGCCTTAGGGACTTCAACCAGTGAAAACACTTTTTGAAGGGCTTTTCATAAATATATCAAGTCGTTTTGAAACGTCCAGAAATATATTTTATCCTAAGTGAACTGAACGGTTTACTAAGCGCATTTTCGGTTATTTTAAACTCTCGTCCATTGCATTCTTCACTCCTGACGAACTGAGTTCAGATGTGAAGCACTTTATTTTCAAGGGCAAATCATTATGGCTGATGCCATAACCTGACTCCTATATACGGAGTTATGCAGCTGAATTCTCAGTATTAGATCAGATTCAACAGTATCCTATACGTCTTCCTCTTGGTATACTACGAGTAAAACTCTGCGTGGCTGCTCGGAAGGACATCACCACCTTTTCAGTCAGTTCAGTTTTGTTGTGATCCATACGTCAGCCAATTCTGTTCAGGTACTGACGAACCGCTTTAGTCATGTGTCGACTTCAGTAAGCATTGGTCACATGACCTTATGCAAGCATTTCGCTAACACGATGAAATTGAACTTGTAACTTTAAGCTGACTGATTAACACAAATCCATAGTTCCGCATCTATAATGAGAGGATATTCCGTCCATCATACCATTATTTGAAACTGTTGCTCATAGTTTGCTACACGATCAAAATAGCTTAAGTAGTTTTATGCATTTATTTTTATCAGATACTTTACGCATGTACAGTAACATAATGATTCGACCCGATTTTAAGGACCCCAGGTTTGGAATAAGGTTATCTAGTGATACAGAATGGGGCAATTTGCGCACCGTATTTGGAGAAAAAAACCTACGCATAAGACAACAGAAATAAGCGTATCTATTGCGAAGTAACATGGCCAGCCTGTACGTCTTAGATATTGTATAGAAAGATGGCTAAATCAACAAAGCTTAACAAAATATGAGTGGAGATGGTGTAGAAAGACAAATAAAAGTGTATTTTGCTATTCACTGAAAGGTCAGAGAGGACTGATAGAAAGTTATCGACATTTTTTAAAAAACAAAACAAATAATGTGAAGTCATTGGCTTCGTACACTAGGCCTTTTCGTTAATTCATGAACAATTAAAACACCGAAAAAAATATGTTACGTCAAATCTACATAAAGACTTTCTGTTTACTGATAAGTTCGCCTTAGCAACTCCAAATGTGACCGATTAACAAAATCCACTCACAAGCATGTTTGATTAACATGATTTCGTAGTTAGCCTGGTGTGAGAACTACCAGATTGCGTGCTAAAGGTCTACCAAGATATAGTAGATATTGACCTTGCGTATCCTCTCACGCCCCAGTATGTGTTACGTTTTCTAGCCTCAAATTAGTCTACCGACCACCACTGCAAACTCAAAATCAGAATTTTTGTAGTTACTGTTGGAACATTACAGCCAGTAAGAAGATACTCCATAGGTAATCCGTTCTCTTTTACAGAAAACTTTGAAAACAGTGATTCCGTCTAGATTAGATAATTTGGCTCGTTTGGGGTTGATTCCAGAACCACTGGTGTACTTTTCGGGAGGTATTTCTTGTTGAGTGTGTGCATCGTATTTGCTTCATTTCTTATTGATTAATTTGTCAGTATCCGATTATTGATCAACGATGATCGAGTCACAATACAAAAGCAAAGTCTTCCCCCCTAACCAATGAAATGTTAAATGTTTACACATCCTACTTCTTTGAGTAAAAATACTGGCACACGACGAAGCATCATCATAGAATATGCTGAAATCAGTTATTTCGCCATCTGTTATCAGCGTTTCACAGGTGGAACAAGGCAACTGGTTCGTGGACAGACAACTGCACTAATGGGTAGCTAAAAGGCTCTCATACGGGATTTGTAACCATTTTGCCTTATAATTAAAGACGGTAACCCCGTTTACACTTAAGTTTGTCTGATCAAAAGAACAATTGGACGTGGGGAAGCTCCTTCTTGTTTCTATAGCGAAACTCTACAAATCAGTCCTCATCTAAACACAAACGTATGAATTTACTACAACACGAGGAAAAATGGGATCAATGCATCTCTTTTCCCTTCTTGTACCAACTTTTTTCGCGGTAGTCCCACTGAGGAAGCTTACAATACATTGAATAAACTCCCTGTTCATTATCTTATTTTAAGGTATCGTCTAGTGAGAGTTGGATTGTTTTATATAGACACCGTCTACTGCAACTTAACTTGGTCATTCAGAATGAGAAACTTATGAACTTTAAGTGTGCTTTGATAGTGTAAAACTGATTCCGTTCGCAAATTTTACGCGATTTGAAGATAGCCGTTGTCAAATTGAATGAAAAAGAAACACGTCCCACCTTGCGAACATGGTAAAAAAAGCTATCAAAATTTGTCCGGTACTCTTGTTTCCACGTTATTCAGGTGTCTTTGCATACGTATACACACATCAAATTATAAATCGCCCATACAAGCCCGTATGTGTATGCTTTTGTAATAGCCTTCTCGATACCATTGTCATTCAATAGCTTGGCTAGCCATCTGAATAGAAACTTTATACTGATCGGTGAGGTTTTGTAGAGAGGGTACATGAGAAATATGGCAACATTGCATTGTTCTCAACAGGGGATAATAGTCCGGGAACTAAGTCAACCAACCTCCTTATCAAGACGTTTCTAACCTTGATATTCTTAACCGTTTCAGTGGACAGAACAATTGCAGTCGGACCTATTGAAAGCGGGGAGAATTACGTGAAAGTCAAATGGGGCAAGATTCAGCCTGGCAACGCTGTGCGTGTTACTGTATATGGTGCACTGGCTGCGTCCAAACAAAGTATGGATAGCCCAATTCGCGTTGGAGGTTTAGATGCATGTAAAAACTACTACGTTTTGGTTGAACTGCTAAACGGAAATGAGGTAGTAAAAAGCAATCAACCAACAGAAGTAAAGACGTCATACCCAGGTAAGTTAACTATCACACACTGGTCCCTACTGAAGATTTTTTTCGGGTAAACAAAAAATAGAAGTGAGCAAAACTCATAATTTCATCTTCCATGCACGCAATTCTCATTGGAAATCCGGGAGTTCATTGAGGAATTATAAGCGTATCTTAAGGAATTAAACATTTGGCCTGAATACAAATGCTAAGCTAAACTGTTTGCGGAAGTTCATTTCGAACAAAATACCCTAGACAGTTTCAATGAAGATTTTGTGCAAATGGTGCAAATCTATACTAAAAAGCCTAGAAACACTTGACAGCGGTTTAATTCCTTTTGGAAACCACCAGCTGTGTGCATCTCACGAGACTCCATGCAGATTCAAATCCCCATTTTCTAATTAAATGTGCTTTGGATTTCACCGTTTAGCTCATTCAATGTACAGTAACTTTTTACAGTGAAATGTTACATATTTGTTTTCTCGCCATTTTTCAGCGCTCAATGCACCGGAAAATTTTATTATCAAATCGCTCTCAGGTGAACTCGGTCATAAACTAACATGGACGCCCATGACCACTCAGTACCCATCAGCATGTCGATTATCCTACCGAGTGGAGCGTGAATCTCGAAAGGGTGATAAGGTAGAGAAGCAGAGTTTTGCGCTGAGTGAAACACAGCTGGAAGTTACCGACATAGCCCATGAGGTCGAATATTTCTACAAAGTACAAGCTGTCTTCAACTTAGTACACGGCGGAAAATTCTCAGAAACATTGAAAATTACTGCACTTTCGAGTAAGTTGAATAACTTCCCCAAATATAGTTTGATTGGTTCTCGCGCTTCTTCCTATAAAGTATGAATATTCACAAGAATTATTTCATAGAAGCCTTATAAAAGGAGGTCAGGGTTTGGAATATCTCCAATAACACTAAGAGTGATCTGCGACGCTGCATGCAGTCCCTCCAAAAAACCCTCACATTTTCGTTCTCTAAAATTAGGAACCACTTCTTTCCAACCTTACAGAGGACAGCATTCCTGGTCGACCCTATAAGACGGCAAAAGCCTCCGGATACTTTAACCCTGCTCATTTGACTCAGGTCAGAAAAGTTTCAGCTAATTATGTAAGGCATTTGATTTTTGATATAAGGCGATGAGCTCAGATGTCTGAAATCTCTATCAGGAATCTACGGTCAACTTCTCCGGTAGTGAACAATCAGTTCACCAACCGAATTGACTGAGCAAAGAGGAGTGATCAAGGGTAGCCAAGGGGGCGCTTGCTCTAGTGGATATGGATGATGTAAGGACTTCTGGTAGCTGCTCAAATCAATAAAGATAAAACTATTCCCATAAAAGAAACTACTCACAAAGTTGCTGAAAACTCTTCGACAGCCCACGACCGGTTTCGCCCTTCTTGGGGCTCATCAAGTAGACGCAGTCCCCGAGTTTCCGTCAACCTTATGATCTATTTGTTTTCTGCATATCTTCTTGATAACTTCTTGATAAGTGTAAACGGTTCATTGAGGCTTTCTGTTGGGCTGAACGTCTGGCTTTGGTATTCGACCACGCCGCCTTTTCTCCAAGGTGCTGAAAAACTGCATCCCGGCGGTCTTTTGATTCTAGAATTAAGTTAGTCGTCGTAAATTAGCACAGGGTGAGCACAGGTATCGATTTGGTAGTCCGATTTGAGTCATTCGGAAGCACGTTCACGTTTTATTTTCCTAGTTATCTTATCTATTGTACTGAAAACCCCACCCCCTTCCAACGTTTATGTTTCATTTTATAAACACGTATTCCTGATGTCCAGCTATATAAGACAGCTCTATGCCACTATATTGTTCCTCAGACCGTCGTCAGTTGATGTACTGTTAAAATCACAAGTAAGGAATAACCATCCATTACGCTCAACAGACAGTGTATCATTGCTTAGTAGCCATCCCTAGGGAAGAAATCAAGCCTAGTATAGTTTCAAAGCTCATTATGACAAAATTACATTGATGAAACGCAACATTAGCCTATGTTCATCAAAATGGTTATGCTATATGAAACAACAACACAAATATCGTATCTTATAGTTGGCAGTTTGGTCCATTTTGAATAGGATATCATAAACGAGAGATTAAGTTGAGTCTCTCGTGAAAACCAAATATAAGACTATTCTGTTTATGAGGGTGAAAAAGCGGAGTGGTTGACTTGGCAATGGAAGCGTTTTGGAAAGCTGCGCAGCCGATTTGAGTCACTCATTGCACATCAAGGCCGCGGATTAAACATTAGTCGAACAATGCAATACATGACACCAGCAGAGATTGGCTGCTTATTATTAAAACTTTGGTTGAAGTTCCCGCCCTACTGATCCGTGGCTAGAAATCGCAAGCTGATATGAGCTCTTCAAAGGACATCTTCACAGGAAAAAATCCTGCTTATGACAGAACCTAATTCCTCAATGATAACGTACACAATAGGAAAGTCACAAGCATGTTTTACATTGTTATCAGATGTGGCCTACTGTGCACCTTCAAAGATAGTGAATCACAACTTCAAGATAACTGTTCCGCACCAGGTACGCGGTGAATTAAATTTAGGTGACCGAGAGCTCAAGCTGTCAAATGGTGTGCACATTTTCAATAACTGTGAACAAACCCTCAAATAGCACTAATAAGCATAGGTTGGATTGTTCTCGCACTGAATGTCAATCAAGTTGCATGAAACCACACCAACATAGCCCCTACCAAAGTGTACGGATTTAGATCATTCCTCCTCGACTGTGTTGAGACAAAGGATCAAAAATCAATCGGGTTCCTTCTCTATGGTAAGTACGAATTTGTTATTTTGGTGCCGGCAATTTAAGGGCGCAACGACTGACGAGTGCGTTAAATCTGATGCCCATGAGAACTTATGTTTAACATTCAATCAATTAGGAGTTTGAGGCCGATTGGTCTATCTAAGTCTCAGAGAGGTTTGTTAAACAAACGGTGGATTTATTTCTGGGAAACCTTTCACTTTTGACGCACAAACTTCGTCAGGCCAGGTAAGTGATCGGATTTTAAGGCAGTCAGAGAACCATTCCGTGAGATCTCTTATGAATACCCGACTGATCATTACTGGATGTCGGTCTGAAGTTCATGTATGTTGGTTAGTGGGGATGACTAACATTTACGATACATTACCAAACGGAGGCACACCCTAATCAAAGTACACTCAGTCACACGTACCGTTATACAGAGCTAACACAACCAGACATAACATTGAATTGGTTCTCGTACTCCTTGTTCCTAGTTAGGGTGGACTGTGTTCTTTCGTTCTTTGTCCGAGTTGCCTAGTCGTGCGTCCGATGTATTTCGCTGCACAGTAGCAAGAGAATGAGTACACTAAGATATTTTGGGCGTGGACTGGCATTCTATCTTTTAGATTAAAGTGTCACAGCTGATTGCTTGTGAATCAGGTTCGGATTGTTGCGGCAAGAAAACTTTGTTCAATAGGTCGGCCAGCAGAGATCCCTTAAACGGGAGGCTAATGAATCAAGGAACACCATCTACCCTGACTAGCTTCTGGAAGAAGAATGACGATAGCCAGGTCAGTCGTACAACATCAAGCAGACACAGACGTGATACCCAACCAGAGCTTCCGCATTGTTTACAAGGCGCCTGCTAATCAACCCCGATCAGTACAGCAAAGCACATTCGCAGTGATGGAAGATATCACTATGGAACATAGTGACCCGATCCTTTGTCGGTAAAAACGCTTTGTTCGTGTGTTGTACTTACCATGGTCCAACTCATCTCCCCTCACACATGCACTTTGTGCTGAACGCACAACTACAGCACCCCCGCGCCGACTAGCTCAAGCCATCTTATTGGTGACCTGAACTAATTGTTCTCTGATAGGTAGCCAATGCGTCTCACTCCGATTTCCTGTCCATTTACACCATGCTCATTCAAATATGTTAAATACTGCTCTCTTAGCCTTTGCAGTTGTATGACTTGAAAAGACCTTGCCGAAAAAATGTTCGTCAACCCACCTGTGTTCTTATTATAAATGGGAAATTTGGGAATATTTACGATAGACTGGTTAGGGGGTATTGTCTTCATGTTGAAACCGGATTTTGCGGTCTTACTTTTCCGGTCTAGGACACCTTAATGGAATATTCCTCTTAAGGGTCGTTCCCAGATTTTGTTCGTCCGTGTGCACCTAGGGATAGTGGGATAATTGGATTGGGTTTGGAGGGGGTGGTTAGGGTGATAACTGAACACCACCTCATATCATCTCGGCTGCTCTAAAACCGCTCTCCACACGCTTGCGAATCCGGGCCCTTTATTCTACTCACACTGGGATGCTTGTCGATTTCCGCCGCCCCGGCCATCAGTCGCTGTGGTGTGAATTCTAGTCCCGTCTCAGAATGTCCACATTTTTCCAGTGCATGAACTGCCATTGCTGAAGCTTTGACTATCATCTGATATTCGTCCACTTTTCTCGGTGGTCTGCTAATGGATCGCTAATGCTTACCGATTCTGGTGTGCAATTCCCTGGCAGTCTGACCTATAGAAACCTTCATACAGTCGTTCCATTTTATTTGGTATACACAATTGCCAGTCCTATCAACCCGAAGGGGATTCTTTAACTGCACCAACAGTGAGCATAAATTGTGTTAAATGTGCCGTAGATGACTACGATAAACTACCAGAAAACAACTGCAAGAGAACGAATTAGTGATTATTGGAGTACATAAGGATAATTCTCGAGCCCCAAACTACAAAAATCAAGGGATCGTTCCGTAGTTATTTCCCATTGTAGACAGCTTTTTAGAAGGACTCAAATAAGAGAGCGATAATTTGGATTACAGACAACCATGACGTGTTTGTCCGGAAATTCAGTCGAAATTTCACGTGCGCCCGCTTGGTCAACTCTGGGACATCTTTCTGGGACATTGGTGATTAGGCTTTGCAATACTGGTCATATTTATCCTTGATATTATTATGAGCTTTCTGTCTTCCATTCCAAGAACCATCAGAGCCGGAGAAGCCTGTTGTCACGTGGACAGACATGAAAATGAAGGTTGATTGGACGGGAACTTTGAACTTGTTAGAGCAAATAACACAAGTACACCTCTTGTACAATGAAGATGGAAAACCTAAGAGTCGAATCGCCAAACAAGCTGACGGACATTTATTGGTTGATGTACCCACCGGTCATCTCGACTGCAATATGTTGTTTGCTGTGGAAAACCATGCCGGTATTTCACCCTTCACAACGGTACCCGTTCCAGCGCGACATCGTAAGTTTTGATGTTCAGTTAAGTCAAATACACTAGAAATGAAGCAATGTTCAGTGCAGGTATTTAAATTCCATTAGGCATGGAAAAAGGAAGGCCAAAGATAACCTTCAGGAGGACAGACGATGAATCAGTGATCTATTTTCATATAAAAAGTAGACGAAAAGAATGTAATCTGATAGATATTGAACAAGTTTAAGACCACAAGGATTAGAATGAACTTGGATCGTCTTTTTTAGGGGATTGTGTCCAGCCCATACTATACAGTCAGGGTTACACTCCAACGCAGCTGATGTAAATCTGGGTAAATCCGTTGTTGATTTAAGCTATACTTGGTAGATTATCGTCTCGTTCTTGGTCGAACAAGATTACAAGTGATACAAGTGGTCTAAACTTTTCGAGATAAATGACAAATAATTCGGAACGCCTGACAAGTGTTGTGGTACACTCACAGGTACTTTGTAAAATACTGAACATTGTCGACAGCATGACATCTCTTTTCAACACTGGTGTTTCGCCGCCGTACAACCATGATTTATTTGAAAACCTTATTGTGAAAAACAGAATGAAAGTGAACTATGAACGAACTTATT